AACATTTGAAAATTTTCCCGAATCTGTACTCCTAAAATTCCCCGTATTTCGTAACATCTCACTACCAACATTACTTATATATAAGATTTTAGTTCATCAGTCTCACACGATAGACTGTCACATCAGGTGTATTGTTTTCTCAGGTGTCAGGACAGTGATCAGCATCGCAAGGGGTCGCCAGCTACCGCTACACGTGCCTGAAATACGATAAACAGTAAGTTTGCTCTTATTAAATCATGTCCGCTTTGCAATCGTTCTGACGGCATTTTCGATTTTCCATGATAAAAAAAATGTATTTTTCCCACATTAAATATTCACATCTATTAAATCTTCGTATCTATGAAATTAAACCCTTTTAATAAATACAGGGATAATTATCATCGTTTTAGTTCAGATTTGTCACGTGTATGTCATGACTAGGTGTTAATGTTTTTACACGTGCATTCCGTAATCAAACGCAGCCGCATGCTGTCGTACATTGTGAGAAGGAAACAAATGTGAAACTTCGTCTAATTACGAGAGATGAAATGTTTTTTTCTCCAGATTTCAAGTATCGAAAAGCGGAATATATCACTAGCAATATGGACAACGATCAATTCAAAGGATTACCAGCGTCCGAAAAATGTGACAAATTAGTACAACATGCTGCTAGCGGTCATACGGATACGGTCACAGCGTTATTAGGTGCGGGCGCTAACATAGAACACGCGGACGTGAATGGCAGGACTGCAATAATGCAAGCAGCTGTTAACGGTCATACGGATACGGTTACAGCGTTATTAGGTGCGGGCGCTAACATAGAACACGCAGGCATGAATGGCAGGACCGCAATAATGGTAGCGGCTATTAACGGTCATATGGATACGGTCACAGCGTTATTAAGTGCAGGAGCTAACATAGAACACGCAGACCGTGATGACGACACCGCAGTAACGCTGGCAACTATTTACTGTCATACGGATACGGTTACAGTGTTATTAAGTGCAGGCGCTAACATAGATCACGTGGCCCTGGATGGCTACACCGCAGTAATGTCAGCGGCTACTAACGATGATACGGATACGGTTGCAGTGTTATTAAGTGCAGGCGCTAACATAGAACACGCGGACGTTGATGGCAGGACCGCAGTAATAGTAGCAGCTGCTTACGGTCATACGGATACGGTCACAGCGTTATTAGGTGTGGGCGCTAACATAGATCACGTGGACAGGAATGGCTGCACCGCAGTAATGCTAGCGGCTCTTAGCGGTCTTACGGATACGGTCACAGCGTTATTAGATGCGGGCGCTAACATAGAACACACGGACGTGGATGGCAGGACCGCAGTAATGTCAGCGGCTGGTAACGGTCATACGGATATGGTTAAAGTGTTATTAGGTGCAGGCGCTAACATAGAACACGCGGCCGTGAATGGCAGGACCGCAGTAATAGTAGCGGCTATTAAAGGTCATACGGATACGGTCACAGCTTTATTAGATGCAGGCGCTAACATAGAGCACAGGGACGTGGATGGAACTACCGCAGTAATGGTAGCAGCTGCTAACGGTCATACAGATATGGTCACAGCGTTATTAGGTGCGGGCGCTAACATAGAACACGAGGACGGTCAGGGCAGGACCGCAGTAATGGTAGCAGCTGCTAACGGTCATACGGATACGGTCACAGCGTTATTAGGTGCAGGCGCTAACATACTTTGCAGGAACATGGATGGAAGGACCGCAGTAATAGTAGCGGCTCGTAACGGTCATACGGATACGGTCACAGCGTTAATAGGTGAAGGCGCTAACATAGAAATCGCGACCGTGAGAGGCAGCACCGCAGTAATAGCAGCAGCTGCTAGAGGTCATACTGATACGGTCACAGCGTTATTAGGTGCAGGCGCTAACATAGAACACGCGAACGTGGATGGCGAAACCGCAGTAATACGAGCAGCTAGTAGAGGTCATACAAATACGGTCACAGCGTTGTTAGGTGAAGGCGCTAACATAGAACACGCGAGTGTGAAAGGCTTTAAAGACAGGTCCGCATTACTAGCAGCAGCTGTTAACGGTCATACGGATACGGTCACCGCGTTATTAGGTGCAGGCGCTAACATAGAACACGTGGACGGTCATGGCGACACAGCAGTATTAGCAGCAGCTCGTTACGGTTATACGGCTATGTTCACAGCGTTATTAGGTGCAGGCGCTAACATACATTACGTGAACGGTTATGGCAGGACCGCAGCAATAGAAGCAGCTGCTAGAGGGCATACAGATATTGTCACAGCGTTATTAGGTGCGGGCGCTAACATAGAACACGTGGACCGTGATGGCAACACAGCAGTAATGAAAGCAGCTGGTTGCGGTCATACGGCTATTGTCACAGCGTTATTAGGTGCGGGCGCTAACATAGATCACGCGAACAATTATGGCTGGACCGCAGTAACCTCAGCAGCTGTTGAGGGTCATACAGATATGGTCACAGCATTATTAGGTGCGGGCGCTAACATAGAACCCGCGGATAATGATGGCGACAGAGCAGTAATGGGAGCGGCTGCTAAGGGTCATACGGCTATAGTCACAGCGTTATTAGGTGCGGGCGCTAACACAGAATACGTGTGCAATGATGGCGACACAGCAGTAATAGCAGCAGCTCGTTACGGTCATACGGCTATTGTCACAGCGTTATTAGGTGCAGGTGCTAACATAGAACACGCGAACGTGATTTGCGAAACCCCAGTAACGCTGGCAGCTTCTTTCGGTCATACAGAAACGGTCACAGTGTTATTATGTGCGGGCCCTAATTTAGAACACGCAAACCTGAATGGCAGCACTGCAGTAATGCAAGCAGCTGGTAACGGGCATACGGATACGGTCACAGCGTTATTAGATGCGGGCGCTAACATAGAACACGCGGACGTGAATGGCATGACGGCGTTGATGCATGCTGCCAGTAGCGGTCATACATCGTGTGTCATGAAGCTACTAGCAGCAGGAGCGAGTGCGGAGGAGAGTCGCAGTAACAATGGCAGGACGGTGTTGGTGTGGGCTGCCGACGGCGGTCACGCAAGCATTGTGACGGAATTATTGAATAAAATAAAGGCGTGGCATCCTGAGGACGTGCAAACAGCGTACCAGGCGGCCGTAGATCGCGCCCTTGAGATCACTATCAACGACGGCTATAGAGAATCCGCCGGCGCTATACTGGAGCACCAATACTTTGTCAGTGAGCTGCCCAACCATTGTTATTGTGACAGAGAACGTAAGATATCGCGCTGTAATGGCAGTGGTGTGACGTCACTGTCTGATATATGGGATACGCCAGGCTTGGGAAGATTAGAGCATCAGGGGGAATGCGATCAAATTCGGGACGCCGTGCTAGAACTGATGAAGCAAGTCTGCAAGGAGATGAAAGTCTTAGACAGCGACTTCTCCTGCACGCCCATTCTGGTAGGCAGCACGGCCAACCGCACAAAAGCTGGTCTGCCGGACGAATACGACTTCCTATTCGAAATCGATGGATATCGATACCATAAAATTATTACCTCAAGATATAATAGAGCTGGCTTTGTAACAATTTGCGAGGAAAAATCAGAGGAGTATATTTTGGTGAATCTAAAGGAAGAATTTGTTAATCTATTGTGCCGGGCTTTATCGAAAGTCATGAAAAACGGAGAGCATTCGTTCAAAACACAAAGGTCACATATTTTGGAATGGAACAAAGTTTGCACGCAGTTTAACGTGAAATTTGTTGGCGGCGAACATTATAAATTTCTACCTATATCGGTAGATTGCACGCCGGCAGTACAACTCTTGGACAAGCCACATTTCGCAACAAACTTTCCTGGTGACCACTACCACGTGGTACCCAAGCCTGGCGTGGGCTCAGATACGTACTGGTCCGTCTGTACGGCAGTAGCGGAAAGCAAAAAGATCAAAAGTTTCCTTCCAGTTTATCGCCAGGCTCTAATCACAGCAAAGGCATTTCTTGATCCTCAATTACATGGTTTTGATGATGAGTGTCTAAATATATTGAATAAGTTGCATACAGACAGTGACGTTACATATTTACGTGCAGTTAACATAGACGTTATTCAGCTGTATATCACCATTCGTTTTAAGCCTAGGAAACTGATCGACTCCTACCTCCTAAAACTTGCGCTGCTTCATGTCGCATCACTTAACCCAGCGGATCCGTTGCCGTTCCCACTAATCGTGCGTAAAATATTTTTGTACGTAAAATCGCGTACAAATAAGCGCAAGGTGCCGCATCCTTATATTGATAATTTCAATGTTTTGGCCGAGGACTGCGTTAAAACAATCTCATACGTGCCGGTCGCGTATTTGCGTAGGCGGCACTTGGAGGCGTTACTGAAACGTCTTGATAGCGGTCCGCGGGTGAGTGAGAGCGGACTTATAAAGCTCAGCCCGTATGACCTGTGGGATAGGATGAAGGAGTCGGTCAGTGCAGCGTGGCCTGAAGTTGTAGCAGATATCGAACGCTCGTTTATTAGGACTTGGATGCTACTGGCTGACACTTGCAATAAAAAAAACCGGTTAGAAATTACGGACTGATTGCAGCTTTTAAACCGTCAGCTGTTAGTGACTGTGCATTAATTAATTAATAATTAGTTTATTTATTTATTTATTTATGTATCACTTGCTATAAATTATTGTGATATCACATCACAAGTACTTAAACTTAAGAAATTAATATGTATTTTTCAAATAAATGAATGATAGACTTTCGTGTAATTTCAAAAATTTTCTACATGCAATATATTTGTCTTGGATTCTGTTTTGATAATGAAGTACTTGCACACTTTACATGGCAGCGATCTACTTGTAATCAAATAAATCTTTCACGGCTATGGCTTTTATATTCTTCAGAACGAACTACGTACACGAATACACAACCAACAATATGTTTAATATAATTTTAAGCATTTATTGAGATATAAATATTGTGTGTACACAGAATTAAGAAAGCATTAACTGCGAATGGTCAGTCAATCAATCTATCTATCTATATATATCTATCTATCTATCTATCTATCTATCTATCTATCTATCTGTGTATCTATCAATCAATCAAGCTTTCTATCTATCAATCTACCTATCTACCTATAAATCAATCTATCTATCAATCCATGCAACCATCCATCAATTCATGCTTCCATGTGTGTATGTTAGTGTGTGGGTGTGCGTGCGTGCGTG